TGTGCGTGTTTGTGCGTGTTTGTGCGTGTTTGTGCGTGTTTGTGCGTGTTTGTGCGTGTTTGTGCGTGTTTGTGCGTGTTTGTGCGTGTTTGTGCGTGTTTGTGCGTGTTTGTGCGTGCTTGTGCGTGTTTGTGCGTGTTTGTGCGTTTGTGTGCGGTTGTGTGCGATTGTGCGTGTTTGTGTGTTTGTGTGCGTTTGTGTGTGTTTGTGTGTGTTTGTGTGTGTTTGTGTGTTTGTGTGTGTTTGTGTGTGTTTGTGTGTGTTTGTGTGTGTGTTTGTGTGTGTGTGTGTGTTTGTGTGTGTTTGTGTGTGTGTTTGTGTGTGTGTGTTTGTGTGTGTTTGTGTGTGTGTTTGTGTGTGTGTTTGTGCGTGTTTGTGTGTGCTTGTGTGTTTGTGTGTGTTTGTGTGTGTTTGTTGTTTGTGTGTTTGTGTGTTGTGTGTGTGTTTGTGTGTGTGTTGTGTGTGTGTGTGTGTGTGTGTTTGTGTGTGTGTGTGTGTGTGTTTGTGTGTGTGTGTTTGTGTGTGTGTTTGTGTGTGTGTTGTGTGTGTGTTTGTGTGTGTTTGTGTGTTTGTGTGTGTTTGTGTGTGTGTGTGTTTGCGTGTGTTTGTGTGTGTGTGTTTGTGTGTGTTTGTGTGTGTTTGTGTGAGTTTGTGTGTGTTTGTGTGTGTGTGTTTGTGTGTGTTTGTGTGTGTTTGTGTGTGTTAGGGTGTGTTTGTGTGCGTTTGTGTGCGTTTGTGTGTGTGTGTGTGTTTGTGTGTGTTTGTGTGTGTTTGTGTGATTGTGTGTTTGTGTGTGTGCGTTTGTGTGTTTATGTGTTTGTGTGTTTGTGTGTTTGTGTGTTTGTGTGTTTGTGTGTTTGTGTGTTTGTGTGTTTGTGTGTTTTTGTGTTTTTGTGTTTTTGTGTTGTTGTGTTTTTGTGTTTTTGTGTTTGTGTGTTTGTGTGTTTGTGGTTTTGTGTTTTGGTGTTTTTGTGTTTTTGTGTTTGTGTGTTGTTGTGTTTTTGTGTTTTTGTGTTTTTGTGTTTGTGTGGGTTTGTGTGTGTGTGTTTGTCTGTGTGTTTGTGTGTGTTTGTGTTTGTGTGTGTTTGTGTGTGTGTGTTTGTGTGTGTGTGTGTGTTTGTTTGTGTGTGTGTTTGTGTGTGTGTTTGTGTGTGTGTTTGTGTGTGTGGTTGTGTGTGTTTGTGTGTGTGTTTGTGTGTGTGTGTTTATTTTTGTGTTTGTTTTTGTGATTGTTTTTGTGTTTGTTTTGGTGATTGCTTTTGTGTTTGTTTTTGTGTTTGGTTTTGTGTTTGTTTTTGTGTTTGTTTTTGTGTTTGTGTGTGTGTGTTTGTTTTTGTGGTTGTTTTTGTGTTTGTGTTTTTGTGGTTTTGTGGTTTTGTGTTTGTGTTTGTTTGTGTGTTTGTTTTTTGTGTTTGGTTCTGTGTTTGTTCTTGCGTGTGTTTTTGTGTTTGTTTTTGTGTTTGTTTTTGTGATTGTTTTTGATTGTTTTTTGTGTTTATTTTTGTGTTTGTTTTTGTGTTTGTTGTTGTGTTTGTTTGTGTGTTTGTGTGTTTGTGTGTTTGTGTGTTTGTGTGTTTGTGTGTTTGTTTTTTGTGTTTGGTTCTGTGTTTGTTCTTGCGTGTGTTTTTGTGATTGTTTTTGTGTTTGTTTTGGTGTTTGTTTTGGTGTTTGTTTTTGTGTTTGTTTTTGTGTTGTTTGTGTGCTTTTGTGTGTTTGTGTGTGTGTTTGTGTGGGTTTCTGTGTGTTTGTGCGTGTTTGTGTGTGTTTGTGTGTTTGTGTGTGTTTGTGTGTGTTTGTGTGTTTGTGTGTGTGTGTTTGTGTGTGTTTGTGTGTGTTTGTGTGTTTTTGTGTTTTTGTGTTTTTGTGTTTTTGTGTTTTTGTGTTTTTGCGTTTTTGCGTTTCTGCGTTTTTGTGTTTGTGTTTTTGCGTGTTTGCGTGTTTGCGTGTTTGCGTGTTTGCGTGTTTGCGTGTTTGCGTGTTTGAGTGTTTGCGTTTTTGCGTTTTTGCGTTTTTGCGGTTTTGCGTTTTTGCGGTTTTGCGTTTTTGCGTTTTTGCGTTTTTGCGGTTTTGTGTTTTTGAGTAATTGCGTTTTTGCGTGTTTTGCGTTATTGTGTTTTTGCGGTTTTGCGGTTTTGCGTTTGTTTGCGTTTGTTTTGAGTTTTTCGTTTTTGTGTTTTTGTGTCTTTGTGTTTTTGTGTTTTGGTGTTTTTGTGTTTTTGTGTTTTTGTGTTTTTGTGTTTTTTGTGTTTTTGTGTTTTAATGTTTTTGTGTTTTGTGTTTTTGTGTTTTTGTGTTTTTGTGGTTTTGTGTTTTTGTGTTTGTGTGTTTGTGTGTTTGTGTTTTTGTGTTTTTGTGCTGTGTGTCTGTGTGTGTGTCTGTGTGTGTCTGTGTGTGTGTGTCTGTGTGTCTGTGTGTCTGTGTGTGTGTCTGTGTGTGTGTCTGTGTGTGGGTGTCTGTGTGTGTCTGTGTGTGTGTCTCTGTGTGTGTGTGTGTCTCTGTGTGTGTGTGTGTCTGTGTGTGTCTGTGTGTGTGTCTGTGTGTGTGTGTCTGCGTGTGTGTGTCTGTGTGTGTGTCTGTGTGTGTCTGTGTGTGTGTCTGTGTGTGTCTGTGTGTGTGTCTGTCTGTGTGTCTGTGTGTGTGTCTGTGTTGTGTGTGTCTGTGTGTCTGTGTGTGTGTGTCTCTGTGTGTCTCTGTGTGTCTCTTGTTGTGTCTCTGTGTGTGTCTCTGTGGTGTCTGTGTGTGTCTGTGTCTGTGTGTGTGTCTGTGTGTGTCTGTGTCTGTGTGTGTGTCTGTGTGTCCGTGTGTCTGTGTGTCCGTGTGTCTGTGTGTCTGTGTGTCTGTGTGTCTGTGTGTCTGTGTGTCTGTGTGTCTGTGTGTGCGCACGCTCCATCCATCCATCCCCTCTATCATCCACCACCCAGCCATCCACCCATCCATCCACCCACCCCCATCCCTCCATTTTTTGAGGTTGAATCAGTCATCAGTTGCGCGCCTGTACTTCCACCTCTGACACCGCAGCCGCTTCGGCAGCTGACCCCGTTTGCTTCATGGCCCCAGCCTTAAGCGCACACATTCACTTGAGGCCTTGCGGCCTTGACTGAATCTTTCTGCGGTCAATCACACAGACTTGGGATCGGGCCTTGGATCCAAACAGGTCCCCCGGCTGAAACCGAAGTTGCCTGCCAGTGACACAGTGACACATAGCAGTTCCCATCCAGTACGGGAAATGGAAATCGCTTTTCGTGAGGGCACCTTTGAGCTGCCATTTGGACGGTTCCCCGCGAGACAACCCTGAATAAATGCAAGCGTGCGGCAGCTTGACATCATATCGCGAGATTGGGTTCGTCTCCAAATGCGCTATAGAACCCTCCAAATGGTAGGTTCAACCAAGAAAAGGGCACCAACTCAAAAACGGAAACACACCCAACTGCAGCCTGCTAATTCGATTGGCCCTGCCAAGTTCAACAGCCCGTCGCCCAAAACGTTAAAGGTTCCAGCCCAAACCTCCAACAAAAGAGCAGACAAGGAAACGCATGCCAGGTACGGAGTCCAGTTCGCAGGACCAAATTACATGCGCCATGTGAGAGGCGCACGCACTAAAGCAATGCACCATGTGACACATGTGACACTGCCAGCGCCGACCAAGCCTCTCAATTTCTTCAGAAAGAGTTCGGATGCCTGGCTGCCCATGGTGCACGCGCACCTGAGCGCAGCCCTCATACAAGGCCTACTCTCCCTCTCCCCCCCTCTCTCGCAAAAAAGATAAATGGAAAGCAACTGTTGGGCCGCCGGCCGCCGCCAGCATCGCTGGAAATCCCCACTGGTCAATGGAGAACCCGGCGGCCTTCAAGGAAACCTTCCAGGCCACGGCAAGCAGCCGGGCCACCGCCTCAAATACGCGGGCTCGAGCTTTCTAAAACCATACCAATTTGTGAGCACTCAAGTGATATACTTTCTCTGCGCAAAAGGACAGCCCTCTCTCATGTGTGGGGCTGACAGGGATGGGTCACATCCGGACGCAACGGCCAATGTAAGCAACCAATAGAAGCAGACCTCGCGCTTCTTAAAGGCGCCCCATTCTCTCCCCCGGAGGTTTGCCAGCGCCTGGCGGCAGATCGCGATGTTTAACGACTGGGATGGATGCGACTGCAACTAAGCAAGTGGTGTCTTCTAACATTATTTTTGTCAGAGCGTCAAACCGCAATGGCCTGTGTTCGAACCCATGCCCGCGTTCGGCATCAACCGCGCACTATCTTGAATCAGTGGCAGGCTTTCGTGGACAAAACGTTGCCTGGTGAGGATTCTGCGCACTAACCTTTACGCACTGTTAAAAAGCAGAACTTCGTGGCCGGCCTTCTGAAAGTCTGGCTTCGTGCTGGCGGCCCTCAAGGACCTCCAGCCGACCGTTTCTGGAGTTGCGCACCGAAAGCCTTGCAACTTCAGTAACGTCAGGCGAATGGAATGTCCTCCTAGATTTGTTCGGAAATGCGGTTGCGGCGCGCTCCGGAAAGCAACGGAGGACTAACAATAATACCGCCTGTCTCTTTACTGGGGCACAAGCTCCAGCAGCACCTTTGCCTTGGACTCTGAGGCCGGAGACGCTCTTCGAGCTTTGAGCGAATGAGCCTCTTCCACGCTGAAAGTCTTCTCCGAACGCCTGCAAAAGTCATCCCGTCGGCCAAAACCCTGTTGTAAGAAAGGGTTTCTTTTCCCGCAAGCTGAAATGGAACCCCAAAAGGGGGCGCACAAGGAAATTCTTATGGATCGGTGTTGTTGGGCCCGTCTTAGGGAGAAGGCAAAAAGCCACCAGCTCAACAGGCCTAATGCTTCTAGCTTGTGGAGCATCCCTCAGAACAGGGAATCTTTCACAAGCAAGTCACTGGCTCTGAGTCGACCACAGGCGTGAAGCTTCTACCTGAGGATCATTCATTGCCTCTGCTCATCCACGAAGCCACAAATAAGGTATTCGTCTTAAGTCGCCGGCTCATGTTATTCGTGGTTTGCTTGCTTTCCCGAAACATGAGCTCAAAGCCATCCTAGGTGTCTACTCGTGTAGTGATTAGTGGTGTCAGCCATCCTGACAGGGGCGCAGCAGGAGATTGAGCTTTGTTGCAGCTTGGAACTTCTCACGTGGAAAAAACAAGCACAAGTTGGAAAACTCTGGCACGCCATTTAGCTTGCGCCCGAAGTAGCTATTTATCTAGCTTAATAGCTAACGGATCAGCGACCCAATGGCACAACCAGCTACCTGACCTAACTGGCGGGATGGCCTACTCTTGGACTTGCCAACGAACTAGCTAACATCTGGCAAACGAGCTTGCCAAGCAGGTACCAACCACAGGGCCAGCTAGCAAGCGCGCAAGCTAACTCCAGAAAACTTACCAGGCACAAGGGTTTAGCGGCGACGGGCCACTCGCTGTCACAGCTCGACGCCACTCGCTGTTTCGCTGTTGCAGCTCCACGCGGCAAACCAGCCACACGATGGCCACACGCTGCACCGCCCAAACTTTCCAGACCAATCTCCCAGAACTTCCTCAAGCTGCCCAATTAAAAGCGTGGCAGTTCCCGCGGGCTCACCACCTCGTTCGCGCAAGATGGAGCAAGCCCGAGACATGTGTCTGATCCTGAACTTACGTGGGCTGGTCGCACTGCGCGCGTTGTACGCTGGGTCCACAAAGGAGGCCAGGCAGTCGCCTCCTAAGCTGCCGCAGACGGCGGCAAAGTCGGATTTGGCTCATGCCACACACAAAAAAAGAGAGCGAACCCAGCCGCGTACACATTAGTGCGCCCGGTCGCAGCACGCCGGAGGCGAAGTGCGCCCTGTTCGTCCTTTGCGGCCCTGTTGCTGTCGAGTTCGCGCGTCCTGGTTTGAGCTCTGCTCGCCGGTCTTTTGGCTTTTTGCGGAGGCTTCGATTAATTGAATTTCCTTCACTCTAACTGCTCGCGCGCGCCGCTTCGCTTCACGATTGTCGGAGTTCACTGAATTCCTCAGTCAGGTGAGCCGAGCCTTTCAGGCCGACCTTACCGTTCGCTAGACGCTGCTCTCCCAAAAGCCCTGCCTGCTGACAGGACTTTCGGACACGCGCGTGTCTCGGCTTTCCAAACATTCTCACTGAGCGTTCTGATTTCTACCACCAACTTGCCGTCCAAGGAGGCCCGCGCAGGCTCTCTGCTCTTGCGCGAAGGCTTACTCCTTCCGCGCCAGTCCTGCATCTGATGGGCGGCGGGCTACTAGCCTGGTTTCGACTCCACGCTTGGTTTCCCTTGCCGCGCCTTCTCTCTGCTCCTGCCACGCCGTAGGAACTCTGCAGGACAAGACCAGGCTTGCAAGCAGGACAGTTGCCCAACTGCCAACAAGCCAGAAAGGCTGCCGGTTTCGTTCCGAGTTGGGCGTCCGTACGACCACTACCAGGAGACCCTCAACGCTGTGTCAGCCGCGGGCACGAAGGTGAGACGCCTTCTGCAACACGCTTGGGACTTGGCGCAACACCTGCAAGGGCGAACACGAGTCAACGCCAACAAGCGGAGCGCCCTCGTTCTCGCCCATGTTCTTGCCTCGCAGGCGCCGGAAGCCACCGCAACCACCTAACAAAAAAGGAGGGCAGAACAGGAAAAAGACTAGACCCGCGCAGAAAGAAGCCACAGAGACGGCCAACAGAGCAATGTGAACAGGCCAGGCCCCACCAATTAGACGCAACGCCGCAGAAGAACAAACCAGCCCAAAAGGGCATCTACGCTTGAGCGGCAAAACATTCATAAAAGCTTTGCAGGCAAAGGCGAGGGGGGGCATTTAGCAATTCTAGGTCAGAGTGTGCCCTTTCCATGCGCATGTGCAGCCAGCTGGCACGGCTTCACACATCTCATATCCATCCACCCCAAGACCACACTCCCCGTGACAATTGGGGCCTTACAGAAGGGCTCACTGACTCCTTGCTCCGTCCACAAGGTTCCTCTTTTGCGGTGTGGTTCATCAAGCCCCAACAATCCAACGGCTGCCTGACTTGCAGTCTTCTCGAAGGCCGAGAAGGCACCGCGGCGCCTGCTCATGCGGCCTGCAATCAGCCAGCCTGGCACTTTGGACACAGCTTGGCGGGGGGTCCCAATTCTGTTCATCTTCAATGGTTGGCTAGACAAAAGCCACGCGACCTGGTTGCGCCTGCCTCTCTCGCGAAACTCAAGTGGACCAACGCCGTTGGCTGCAGTTCACCGTCGCGCTCAGCTTGAACCCGGCGGCAAACACGAATAATTGCGAAGAGCCAGCCGTGCTCAGCATGGCAATATGTTCAACACCAATGCCAAGAAGGTCCAAAATTCCACCAGTTTTCAGCGCACGCCGCAGGCCACAGGCGCAGCACGCGAACCCCGCTCGAGCATTGCGCACACACCCCTTTTGCACTCTCCTTTGGTAAGCAAGCGCCCAAAGCTTACTATTGCTTTCGTGCGTTACACCAAGACCTGTGTCTTGTTTGCCCACATGCTCACAGGAGGAAAGGCCCTGTCCTGTCAGGCACAGGCAACTTAAGTGCTTGCAGGCGTCCTCAAGTTTGAATGCCTCAAATCGTAAATATGCCTGCAGCACCTTCGAGAAAACTACTTTCCGATGCGCATCTGAGAGATAGCCACGAACTGCCCCAACGTACATCTGGCAAAAGATCTCAAGCTTGGCATCTCAAACTCCGCGCGTCGCGCGTCGAAACTCATACCAAAAGGGAAGCCCTGCAAGTGTGAGGCTTCACAATTCAAAGCATGTTCCGCGCATTTGCTGACACATTCTGCCCGCCAGATGCGCCAGCAAGCACAAGGTCTCTGTCTGAGTGCAGCCATCCTCGCCAGGGCATGCAGCGCTTCTCCGGCAAAGTCACTACAGATGTTTTCCCGACAAGTCTTGGCCTCGCTGCAGGGCTGAAGGGAACGATAGTGAAGGGGCCCTTACAAACTCATCGCCTACCCAAACCACGCCCTCGGGTGGAACGGAATCGAGTCGGTCGAAGTTCCTGCCACCGCAAGGCACGTTCGAAGGGCGCTAAGTCCTGGCGGACCACTTGGGCCCAGTCACGAGATATATCCTCCAAAAAAACAGACTTCAAAGTAACCGGGAAAAACAAAAAATGCATGTCTGTTGAAGGAGCTTGCAAGGAGTCTGGCGGTCGAACCTTGGGTCAGTCCTGCAGATCCCCAACCCCACACTGACCACGCACGACGGCAAACGTTGACCAAACCTACAAAGCAAGCTGAACACGGCAAGGTTGAGAACTTCCAGCGACGCTCAGTGAACCCCGCCCCGTCTGTGGATGAGGCGAGTCGTTGCAGCCAACACAGCTACTTGGACATTTGGGGGGGAAACTAAACAAAACATCACGGCCCAACATCAACCGTCGGCGCCCAACCCCCCCCCCACCCACCGCTTTGTCCTGCTTCACCATTTGCGGGCCTTCCAAGCTCGTGCTTCGCAGAACAAACCTCAACGGCCACAATGTCCAATCACAAGGGCCTGCAACCCTGACAGGGTTGTCCACAGAGAGCTTGAGTAATTTGGTTTTGTCTCTCGCGTGGAATCTCGTTGCTTATTCGCCCTGCGTAAATCCTATGTTGCCGTAGAGTCCAATCTGAGCTCCTGTTGGGGGTTGCTCGCGCTTGCGCCCCCAAGTCTTCGTGAAATTTCCTGCCGTTGTAATCATGTCTCGCCCTGGCGCGATCTGGGTCTTCTTCTCCACCTACAACCCTGAAAATGCCCAAGGCGCAAATGGAATTACCTTCCTACACTTATCTCTGAGATTTCCCGCCATCCAATATTTCATGAAGACAGCTTACGACGTAAATCCTTAGAGATACGCAGGAAATGGGGCAACCCACCAACATCTTCCCCTCTTTTCGTTTCCGCCACACTCTGTCCCTAGGAGTGAATCTGTTGGGGTCACAACAGTAACAGCCAGGATGGGATAATGAAAGCAGAGAATTAGAGCAGAATGAAGCGGCGGACACGCTGTCTTCTGTTTGTCTCGCCAGGCATTGTTCTCTGGGTTCTCTTTCCTGATCATTCACGGGTATATCTTGAAAGCGGTTCATCTCTGACATCATCCCACCTCCTCCTCCCTTTCACTCAGTGACCGTTCATTCCGGTCATTCCTCTCTTCATCCCACTTCTCTCTTCGTTCGTAAGTGTCCATGAGAGATAGAATGCTGCGTGTGAGTGAGATGGCACGCGACACAAAGAAGAAGAAAAGAATTGGGTGGAGAGACAGGGAGCGTGAAAGGGACGGATGTCATTCCAGCGTGCGGGATGGCCTGATCACTCTCTCCCAAGCATTTTCATTAGACACCAACACTTGGATGAGAAGAAAGAACGCATGTCCAAGCTTTCTTGTGTTTCTTGCTTGGGATTTCATAAGTTGCTTCCAAGCGGTTCATCTCTGAGCCAGGAATGCAACTGGAAGAATATAGAATGAAGATGACCGGAGAGATGGTGAGCGGTAGGCGAATGAGAAAGAGGTGTCATTCACTTCTCATTGATGTGTCTCTAAGGGTTAGCGGTTGGAGGAGATATCTCTTGATCAAGCGAGTTAAACGTGAGGAAGAGGATCCTAGCAGAAAGGCTGTCCAAACCCATCTGTCCCTTCCTCTCTTGCCTGTCTTAACTCGCTTCTGGGCTGGTCTCCTTCCCCCCGTTTCCCACTAACTTGACAATGTGTGAGCACAATGATGAAGAACGAGCCCATCCCCGCGCCCCCCCTCCCTGGCCACTTGCACCCGTCAGGAAATTGTTAATGGGTTCGTACACCACCAACTTCAGTCATGAAAGCGAGACAATCAACTCAAACAAAAGCGAAATGGTCAAGAGCGCTAAAACGCTTTTTATAATAGAACTATTGCTTTTGTTAGCATTTCATGTTTAATGCTCCTATTTCTTTTCCTTTGTCCCGTCTGGTCTCGTTCTCCTTCCCACGGAGTCTCCAATCACTGTCACAACCTTTTCATTCATCCGCTCGTCACCATTTCACCTGTCTAATTAACCTTCCAGAAATTTCAAGGCAGCGAAGGGATGAGGAGGAAGGAACGGACAGGAGGTGGACCAAGAGATAGGAAAGAGAGAAGAGAAGAGACTTCAGAGGTAGGCAAGAAGGAAAGGCCCTTCATCTCTTCCACGTCCTTTCCTTTCCTCGCCATCATTGGTTACCTTGATCAAGGACTGACAGGTAGACATTGGTGGGTGCTAGCTCCAATATAGGTCCCGAGCGAGCAGAGGAAGAACAGGTACAGTATTTTGGGTGAAGATTTGTAAGGAATAAAATTGATATTGTTTGCCTTTACGATTGTCTTATTATTTACTATCATCTCCCTTTCATTTGTTGAGATTAGTCCAGAGAAAGGAGACGATTTAAAAAAAATCGCAAATGATTGCCCCCCTTTCGCGTGTCTACAGGTAGTTCTCTGTGACCGGCCCTTCCTTGGCGAGCCACAAATGAATGGTTGCCTGACATCCGTGGAAGAGATAAAGACTCAGGACCTCTCAGCCAAGCTGCTATGACGTGAGGAACAGAAAGCGTGTGAAGGATTTCTTTCTACCTCCAACCGCTTCCTTCGGCCTCCACAATCTGGCGAGCGTTCATCTTCACAGGCGGAGGGCAAGTCTCCGTTCTCGTCGCCCGAGTCTTATTGGTGAGAACAAGCGGCGGTTTCAAGATCCGGCCCATTTCATCTCGTCGCTCCAACGACTGCGTGACCGCCTTGGGCTCTGCCGGTGGCAAATTCTGCATCCACTGCCATTGATCTTGAGCAGTTCAGCTCTCGACTTGTGAGGCCTGTAGCACTTTAAGAGAAGAAGGCTAATTCGCGCTGGACCTTGACTGCGCTGACCATCGGCCTCCCCAGCTTCCACGGTCTGGACCGTTCCCGGCCTACTCGCAAGCCGCCGTTGTCGTAGTGCGGAATTTAGCTCGCTCGTAGATGATGAGGAAGGCGGGATCAACTCGCCAACATACGGGTACGGAATGGCAGTTGCCCCGGCTCCCTCCAGCCAACTATGCTTCCTTCCCAGGATCCTCACGCCGTTCAATCCTCCTCCAACTCGGCACCTTGCTGCGTCAACTCGAGAATTTCGTCAAGCATCTAACGCTCCAAGGAAGACGCCGGTCTCAACTCCACTGCACACTTCGTCACATTGCCTTTGTACGCCACATAGCACGCCGCTGGCACTCATCCACCTTAGGTTGCCATCACAGTCGCTTGTCCATGCGATCGCCGAGGTAGCACTTTCTTCTTGCGCGCTCTTCTCTCAGCGACCTTCTGCTCCCGGTAAAAGTAAACCGTGTCAACGTTCCCCGTGCTGGCGCCTTTCTCGAACGAGCCAGCCCGACCCTTCGCAGGCTCTTAGAATCGTGCGTCCACACCATAGCTATCCCAGCTGCCTCCTTGATCGCCGCCTGCCTTGCCAAGCCTGGCGAGCTTTCAACCAACGAACGCTCAGCCAGCCTCCGAACTCTCGTGGGCGCAGGCCTCGTTCGCTGCTCCGACGATGCCCTCCATGTCTTCTCTGCCAACTCCAGCAAACTGTAGCGGCGTGTCGCGCGTGTCCACACACGTCTGAACTTTCTGATCTGTTTTTGAAGACGATCTCTGCCCCACCGCCTCAGCGCTCTTATCTTCAAGGACTTCCACCACCAGGAACCTTGACACTTGGTCTCCTCTGCCGCACGCGCAAATTCGGTTGAGACTAGAGCTTGCGCTAGACGTAGCGGCGCCCCAACCTCTGCACCGCCATCCGTTGTTCGTGCGCAAGTGTCTTCCCCGTCACCTCGATGTAGTCCTCCTCATCCAGTTGTTCGCGCCATTGCCAGATCTTGTTCAGGCTCTTCACCTTCCTGCTCTAAGGCCGAAACGTCGTGCTTCCACGTCAAAATGTCTTTCTCGAACTCTCGGCAGCATTGACGATGGATAATGTCCTGGCCCGCCGATCAGTAACTCATGTTCATGGCCACCAACACACAGGTGCGCTTCCAACAACTCGGCCACTTCCGATGAGGACGTCCCAGCTCCACGAGATCCGAACTGATTCCTAGCTGCGCTGCCTCTTGGGCTTTCTATGACTAAGCGTTGTCCTTGCTGTAGCGCCTGCTCCGCTTAGTTCACCGCATAGTACATCAACCGCTTGGCGCTTTGACGCCTGACACTTGCGCTTGCTAAAGCAGAACCTTGCTCCCACCGTCATGGGCGCCATTACCGCGTGTCCTTGCCGAGACGCTTCCTTCAGGGTCGGCGCCGCATCGGTGTAGATTTCTGCAATCAGAGGCCGGTCTTCACCGTCCACCGGCTTCTCGACCGCAGCCCACTTCTCACACCAGTCTTTCAAGGGAATGGCGGGACGTGTTCGTCGATCCTCCGCCATCTTCTAGAGATTCCATCATCTCATCCGTCCACGCATGGGTTCTGCGATGAAGACGTCTTGCCCCTGCGCGACGTCCTGTTGATGCGGATGTCCTTCGTCTCACCCCGCTCTTCTTCTTGGACAGCGATTCCCCAGGCGGCCCCGCTTCACGTCCAGGTCATCACTCGATCCTGGTCGATGTGGAAGACCCCGTTTGGCGGCCAAGGCCTTCACCTTTGCGCAGTTGCGCTGCAAGCTTCACAAGCTCCATCTATCTTCAGCTTGGGTATGCCACCTTGAGGTTCAATGAAACCTCTTTCGCGCTCCTCTCCTCAGTAAACGCCGTGATGAGCCTGTCTTGTTTCTGGACAACGACCTGCAGTCTTAGCCGTTTTGCCAGCTGCGCCGCATTCCTGCGACACACACGCACACACACCCCGAAGCCAACCACACACTTGAGGAGAATAGGCTCGTGCTGACTCAACGAATCCTGTTCCTGGCAAAGCTGAGCCAAAGTGGTCTCCGCTGCGTCCCATCAGTTCCCAGCGTCTCCGCAACCTGAAGCGGAGGGCAAAATCGACCTCTTCCTCTGCGCTGGGTCTTTCTCATACTCCAGCTCATCCGAACTCCAAACCCCCCGCAGCTGCCCGTCAGGCAACCTTGAAGCCTCCCAAACTGTCACCTCTGAACGCTAGCGTCGAACCCTGAGTCGGAGAAGCCCCCGTCATAGGTTCTCTGCCCGTCATCGGCTATCCTTGGGGTCGTCCGTGTCCTCCTCGTAGTGCAAGATGAAGCGGCAGCGCACGAACGCCGCAGATATGGCGGAGAAAACCTCTTGTAAAGCACAACAAGTCAGGCTGCTATCACTGCTATCACAAGTGAAGGCTGCCCAATTTTCCAGGAATGCGCACGCACCGCTAGCTCAAGGCCTAAACAGCCAGACGGGCGAAGACGCAACTGTACTTCACGCGATGACCGCGACTGCCACGCGCGTGCCTTTCCTGGAAATCGAGGGAGATGCCATAAGTTGTCTTCATGAGAATGCTTCCATCTCCCGTCTACCACTTCGGCAATTCGATTTCATTCTCTCGGGAATTCTCCGGAAAAAGCGAGAGACAGGTGAATGAAAATAGAATATAAAATGCTAATAAGATGAAAACCAAGCAAGAGGTTAATCTATAATAAAATCATTTTGGCTCTTCGTCATGAACGCTTTTATCCTTTGTTTGGCATTTCCTGTCCATTGGATGTCTCGGCGGTATTATGAATGAATCCTTATAAGAATACAATTGGAATACTTCTGGAGTTATCCCTTGTATAATAAATTGTCTCATCTTAAGAATTCTCCAGCGACATCTTCCTCTTTCACGAAACAAAACCTGCTCCGCTACCACAAGGAGTGTCCAAGTGATGGAGTATGAGGAATCGCGTGGATTTACTGGCGTAATCACTCTGGGTAAATCCTACCTAGAGGCGCAAACAGCAAAGCCCTTTTGTCTGAATGCTGTGAGGTAGCAAACAAATATTGACAAAGAAAGGCCTTGAGCCAAAATGCATGAAGGTCAAAGAAGGTCAATCAGTCTAAAAACACACACACACACACACCAAGGCCCTGAGGCCCTCAGACCGCAACACATGGCGCACCAGATTCCTGAAGACCACGAGTTTCAACTTCTCCTGAGCAAGTAACTCCCGTTTTCGCAGTCCCGTTCGGCCAGGCAAATGGTTCGCGACACAAAGGCCGAAGCAAAGACCAAGTAGGTGCCCAGATTGATGAACTCTGCTTCCTGACCAGCAATCATTGAGCCATCCTATGGCATCTCCCCTCCAACAGTGCTCCAAGCATACCAAACAACCATCCAGAGATCACCCTGCATGCCTTCCAACCCATGCCCATTAACGAGCTATCCCGCTGAGCGCGCCTGATGCTCAAGTTCCTCCGGTGCAGATGTCGCGCATGCAACCACCAGTGTAAGTATCCAAACCTCTGGCGGCCATGTCTGTGACAGCGCATTTCGCTGATCTCAGCGATGTCTGTGCCTACTGTCCTGATGCCTCAGCGATGCCTCTCAACCTCAAGCCTCTCTGTCCTGATTGAAGCGTCGTACGTTTCCGGTGGCCGTCGCAGCGACGATTCCCACGAGACTGGGCAAATGGTCAAATGGTCACAATGCACCAAAGCCTCGTTCAGGGGTCCAAACACATTCCATTTGATTGTGCTAGACAAGACCTGTAGTTCGAATGGAATAGCCACGCTTGCATGTTCAGCTTGCCCGTACCGATATTTGGTGGCTTGGCTTGGAGAATGAGGAAAACCACCACAGCAAGCTCTCCACAGCACTCCGCATAAACGAACAAACCATTCCGCTTGTCTCGCTCAGGCACCTCCCCAAGCCATTCCGCTCCAGTAGGCCTGCCAGCTAAGCCAAAAGTGGAGGCAATATCCCCCATTCGGACAAGGGGCGAGTCCGGACTTGACCGAACCTCGCATAGAAACAAGTCACTCGTAAATTTGTGATGGCGCAAGTACTTCTGGGAACCAAACAAGTTTGACCAAGCAGCTGAAACTACGACAACTAGTGCCGAGTGGGACAGAAAGCAGCACGTTACCTGCATGCAACTGTTGTCCTCGCCTTTCGTAGGATAATGCCCAAGTCTCAGTCGACATGGAATGAGGTAAGACAGAATCCTGGGTCCGGTCAAAAGTCTCACACCAAGGATACATGGAAAGCTGACCAGGATGAGATGGCTTCGGCCCATCTGATGGGTCACTTAGCTCTCCCCAGGATTGAGGTCAAGCACCTGCGACGATTGCCCCGAGCCTGACGTGCAACAAAGGTTGAATCCAAAAATGGGTTGTGCATTGGCGCGAGTGCTGACAGTCGCAAATGCAAACCTCCCTCGCTTTTCTTTTGCCCTAGCGGTGCTGTGGTAGAGCTTGGTGCGATGCATACAAAATCCCGGGATGCCAGAAAAGATCCTCAGTTGAGCAAACATCTGCATGCACAAATCCAGCCTGGCAAACAGAATTGCACCTAGGCGCCGCCAGGTAACTTGCTCCCAGCGCCGCGCAAAGTCTTCGCCCCAAGGCAACTGCAGAACGGCTTGAGACAAAGTGGCTTCATCTTTGCTGGATAGGCAGTAGGGCGATACTGCAGACACTCCGCCAGATGTGGGCGTCCTTTGAGGCGCCGTCCTTTGAGGCTCGGGAGTCAGCTTTGAACTGGCAGTGACCTCCACCATGCCTCGAACCGAGCGGGTCAGCTCGGCCTTCAAGCGATGGGGTCGCAGTTGGCTTTGAAGCAGCTCTGGCAAGCCATTCTCCACAAACGCCCGCATGCGCTCAGGATCCCGCAAAGCCGCCAGCGCGAAGCGCTTCAGGATCTCACGTTCCAAGTCTGTCACTGCACGGCTTTCACCCGTGAGCAGGTCTTGGCCACGCCGCGCCAGGTGCGGGGCATCGCCTGCAAAAAGGGCACCCAGCTTCTGCACTGCGGCCAGAAGCCCACGCCGGTCGTTTCTCCTGAAGGCCTCTGCTAGCTCTTCCACGCCACTCAGAGCCTCCGGGCCTAGCTCCGAGACCTCACGGCCACGGCCCTCACGGCCACGGCCCTCACAGCCTTCACGGCCCACGGAGAGGCTCCGGTGAGCTCGAGAAGGCGCACCCGAAGATCCAATAGGAGGTCGCAAGAACTGTGCAGATGAGCTCAAATAGGGATATCCGTCGATGCTCCAGCCATGCGCCCAGCTCTTTTCAGAGTGCATCACGCTTTCCTCCCACCAACTTCTTCTAGCCTGCCAAGTTTGAACAAAGGGGTCAGAAACAATTTACATTTGCTGGCAAATAACTCAGAAAGGGGTCAGAACGTTTGAACGGTCAGGACACCTAAAGGAAGCAGGAACACCAAGGGTCAACACATCACGGTGCTGACAATCCATAAGCTTGCTACCACTTGTCCTTGGGCTCATCGTCCGCGGCGCCATTTGCTGCCATTCGCGAATTTGCGAAACACCAAAAGCTAAGCAGCTAAGCAGCTAAGCAGCTAGCCATCACCACACCGAGCAAGCTAGCTAGCTACTTGACCCTTCGAGTCGGATTTCACATGCGAGTCAAGTTCGCCCTGTGCCTTGGGAGGGCACAGCGCTAGTGCCTTGCGCAGTTTCTCGTCCGCCTGCATGCTAAGCAAAGGCAAGGCAAACGCAAGATCCAAAAGCAAAGCAAAGATTCTCTTTGTGAAATGCAAAAGCGTAAGGCCTCCTCTACATTTCCAGCCATGACACTGTGCTTGCCCCAGAGGAAGTACCTGGCTCCAACATACTTAAACCAGGCCCCCCCCCCCACAAACCGCTCCGTTGCCCGAGATCAATGACATCTTCGCACAATCACCTGAGCGCACAGGGTGACCAACAGAGACTTGGGCAGCTTGACCGGGTCGAACCTCAGACACCAAAGCAGGACAACGGAACATCCCAGACCCGTTGGAAGGTCCGGCGCTTCATGCTTGGCGGCAGCCCCTCAGAATTGCATAGGCGTGAAGGAAAGACCCGTGATTTGGAGAATCTCGCAAAGAACTCATGGGCCAAAACACGGTGCCCCTGCACCTTTGAGCGTCCCGCTTACTGTCGCAAGGACAAAGCCGCATTGGGAGGCCTGTAATCCATCACAGGCCAGCGTGGCAGAACCTGACCATTGCACCTGCCCCAGGCTGCTGTAGAGGCGAATCAGCTCGCAGCAAATGACCAACGCCCCCTCACAGGGACTGAATGTCTGAAATGTCGCTTTCTCCCAGTCTCGTTCGCCCAAAACTGTCTAGCTTCCTTTTGCCTTTTCCCTTTAAAGAGCCTCCAAATTTGGGACATCTACCTTGTTTCTGGATTCTAGACGCAAACCGGCATCCGCACCTCCCTGCGGTCTTTGTCCTGCTGTAGCTTTGTGAAGAGTTCACGAGCCACCTGCACCGTCTTTGGCACTCGCCCAGACTGTCTGATTGGTTGCTGCAAACAACCCTGATCTATGAACAAGAGAAAGCGTAGCACTTCTGAACTTACATGTTCAGTCTTCATGTCCGGCTGGCCAGTTGCCAATCAATTGAATTGCAACACATGAGGCGCATCTCGCAGGAATCTTCCCACCTCCACCATTCGTTCGCGAAACCTGTCATGGCTGGGTGCTGCGAGTCAGGCAAAGGCATGCCTGGCCTTCGAGAGCCGTCCTTATCGAGTTTCACTGCAAGATGCCTAAGCTCAACTCCAGGCCTGAACTCCTAAGGCCTGAACTCCTAAGCTTGCTTTAGCTTTCCTTTCCTTTCCTTTTGGGTGCAACTCCAGGCCTGCTCTGAGCAGCCAGCCACAGCCTCAAGTTGTGTAAGGCGCTTGTGACAGGACCAACAACATCAACAACATCCTAAATCCTGAGCTGCACGCAAAGGCATCAGCATCCAACGAACCCTCGCAGTCCTTTCCATGTACCTGTCAAAGTTGCGTGACGGATTCTAATTCACTGAGTCTGACCTGCCTGCTGGACCACTTTCTAAGCATGTATAGTGTCGCCTCCAGCCCTGGGCGAGCTCAAGACGCTCCGAATAATCTGCCCACAGTCGAGATCGCAATCAAATGCGCGCAGATTTCGGATTCAAGCCCTCTTCAGTTTCGCCAGTGCAAGCCATCACTGCCGAGACCTCGTCATTTGCCTGGGGCAGGCGTCATTTGCTTCATTCTGAGCGTAAGCAACATCACTATGGGCGCCTCTAAGCGTGGCGCGAGGTTTTTCGTAGTCGTCTGAAGCCTCGACAAGTGTGATTGAACATTGTGTGATTGCTCTATGACCTGCAAGCATCTAGGATCCAAACAAATTGTACAACCCGATGCCATCGTAAGCATCACAAAGCTGCAAGAACTCGTGGCCGAATCCGCTCCCTGCCCACAAGTATCGTTTCCAGACTGATAGGCAAATTTCCTGAGACAAACTGGCACAAAAAAAGATGGATGTGTCCCACAAAACGTTCTGCCAAGCCTGTCATAAGTCCGACGGATTGCCATGCCGGCCAGATGTGCCCGGCATGTCGTACGATTCTATGTTCAATGTGCAATGTGTGTATGCGCGCGCATGTCTTAAGTTTTTTCAAGGCCTTACTGAAGCGAATGCAAAGATATGTTTGCTTGGAATGTGGAGCCTGTCGCTGAGCGTGCCTGCGTCCATGTGTGTGTGTGTGCATTTTTATTTGTGCGACATGCAAGGAACCTCATTTCTCCTGAAAGACGGAAAGTTGGCAAACATTTCCAAGGTCAAGCGAATGTCCAAGTTCAGCGTATCGGTCGTGAAATATGAACCTTCCACCCACTAACATGAAAACCATGCTGTGACTGGTGTCGTTGTTGGCATGACCAACGGGTCACGGTTTGTCAGAAAAATGTCCGAAAACACATTCTTGAGTTCTGAAAGCATCCCACCCATTGCTTCCAGACGTAGCTGGCATCCTGGCAAAAGTGGCACAATTTACATACATAAGAAAAGCCCACACTGCCCAAACAAATTGACCAACACGTTCAATCAAAGTGTGTCCGGCAAATCTGCCAAACACCCGTTGTGTGTGTGGTCAACCGATACGTTGTCAACTGTTCATTTAAACAAGTTTGGGGTCGAGATCTGGGGGGGGGTAGATTTGCATGGTGTTCGTTAAGTTTGCCCTTTCTACTACAAGACATTCCGAAATGTTATAAGCCAATTTTGCGCTTTTTTGGGCATGTCTGATGATAATGTGCTCTTAATTTTGCTGCGAAGCATACTGCAAACCAGTGCGGCAAACAACGGAAAGCGGTTGGTTTGTTTTGGGTCAGCTCGCCCGATGGCGAATGACAGTCCCGAGGGTAGTCGGCCCAACAGTGTATCTGGAAGGGGCGTGGCATCCAGAGCAAAAGCTTGAATAAATTCGTCTAGGTGTTTTTTATGGTTTGCTTGGTCTTAGGTGGGAGAGGGTTGAAGGTACGCACGGGTGTCTTTGTGCCGCGCGGAATCCCTCCAGAGCAGCGCAACTTTTAGTCTGCAAGTGCGGAACGCAAGCCACAGCGATCCGGGCAAGTGAAAAAACTGGACGCAGAACACGAGAAGCCGCACGGAAGATTTCTCGCCACCTGGCGGGCAGCGGCGCACAACGATTCTGTCGAACCAAACGAACTGATAAGAGCCACAAGCAAGCTTTTGTTACCGTGAGTACTGTTGCAGGCCGCTGTGGGTTTGCATCTATCTGTTTTTGTGCTAAAGTAAGAGTATCAACTTCTTCAATTGTATAACCAGTGCCTTATGAACCTGCTGCATCTGCTAATTCTTGTTTCGTGGCATAAACATTGCTTAGAGTTGATGGTTCTGTTGAATTTATTAATACTAATTCACTTGCTATAATTCTGTTTGAGCCGTCCAGTGATAGTGTTGAAAACAAAAGTATTATATAGTAGGTTATACAATAATTGTATTTTCTCTTGAACCAAATATACCTTTATTTAATGCATTGTGTTTCTCCTGCTTCTGTCCCCTTTAGTCATTTTGCAACAATTGGTAACGCTGCGCAATATTTTTGTACGTTGCATTCTTCTTGGGGGTGGTGTGTTCGCTATTGTATTACTTTGTTGCTGTTGTTGCGGAATACGTTGCTCTTCTTCGCGGTGCGCTACTTCATTGTATTCTACCTTTTGGGGTTTTGCTATTGGAACTGCTTTCAGTTTAGGCTTTATGGGTTTAGATTCTAATGGTCCTTGGCAATTGCGTTCGTGACTGTATCTGTAACTGCGTAGTGTTAATGTTTTTTGACATTTTGGACAGGTTATTTTCTTTTCATTGCGTGTTGAGTGTAGCGCACTCATTGCTTTGTATTCAATGTGGCTGAGCACGCGTTAAGTAGAAAAATTGCCACACTGACAAGATCCATGGCCGGGGTCAGCAGCTGAAGCCGAGGGCTTGCTCCGCAGTGTCATGATCGTGGCCAGCTGGAGGCGTTCATTTTCGTTCGCAGCTGAGTCAGAGGAAGCGTACCATCTCTTGCTGACACTCGCCCGTGCGAGAAGCAGGGCCCGCGAAGCCGAAGAGGAGACCGTAGCCGCCGCGTCACCGCTGATGGGCCCTACAAGCCTGGAGCTTGGAACACCCTAGTTTGAGCTCCATGAAAGGGCATTTATACAAGAAGCTGCTTAGTCTGCAGGTTCATTCAAAGCTGTGTGCAGGGCAAGCAAAAGGCAGATCAGTGAAGAAGTCTGAGGAGCCTACATGTTTTTGGCAAGGCGTCGCGTGTCTGCTTGTCCGTGAAACTCTGGGCTAGCTGCAAATCATGCTATCCACGATTTCGCTTAGTTCAGAAGGTGTCCCAACAACGCCAAAGGCCTTCCATGCCTTAAAAGCGTCAGCCATGGCCCTGCACAAGCGCGTTTCTCAGCAGTTGTCATCAAAATTGCCTTGGCTGGCATAAAGGCGCGGGCTGTGCTGATGGGTTTCCGCATTCGTCGGCCGTGACGCGCTTCGAGTTTCTCAAGCAAACGAGTTGGTTAAGGCATGTTGCACTGCTCCTATCTTGAACCCAAACCAGACCACCCAAAAGAACAAAGCAAGTCCGAAGCGGCCGCAGTTCTTTTAACCGGGATTGCTGAAAGTAGCACTGCTTCCAGGGCACGGATGCGCCTGGAGCAGGAGGTGCGTTGACCCCCCCTTCAGTGTTTCAGGCAACCCCGGTATAAGCGAGCCATCTGGGCCGCCGGCCTCATCACCCCCCCTTCAGAGTGGGGTTGCACCTGGCAGGGCAAATGTCGCACGACATTGCATTTACATGCTTATGAGCATTTGCTGTTCTGGGACTGCTCATTTTCGCCAAAGCGGCTTGCTGTGAAGCTGCTGACAGATGCAGCCAGATATTCTGGTTGCCAGGGCGATGTCGGGTCGCGACGCCTGTTGGAAGGCAGCAAGGCTTGTCTACACGCAGCTGGCAGCAGCTGCTAGGTGTTCCGGGCGCCAGGGCGCATCAATCGGACACAGCTGGATGCTGCCTGACAGCGCAAGGCCTGCGAGGCTGAAGCGTACGCGACTCTCTGGGCGATGGCTGAATCGCGCTCGACCTCTGTTTAGGTCGTCTGCCCAATCATTGTTCCTGCCTGGAACATGTGTGGGCTGCAGCAACACATTGCGCGCATGCGCCCAGAAGGCTGTGAGCTGCACGAAGAGTTGCAGCGGCCAAGAAGTCGTGAACAACTTGTTAAGGCTTGCTTCTGTTGCCGAGTTATCAGTGCCTGAAGGCATGCTGAATGAGTAGTGCCCACCACCAATGTGGCTATGGGTGGCCTGCAGCAGTGCCAACTGTGCCAGCGTTTCGAAACATGCGATGTAGCGCTGTCCAGGCTTGACAAGGCAAGGCCATACTGCCCGTATGTCCTGCATGTTTTAGGTTTAACCACTTGTGATGAAGCGATTGCCCAGCCACCTATACCTACCAAGTCGCAGCTGGTGCGGCCGTGCCAAGGGCTGAACTGGCAAAGTGCTGGAAGCACGAAGCTAGCCACGTAAGGCATTGCTGGCTCGACTTGGAAAGGCTAGTATAGGGGTTATTTGGATCTGAGACACGTACCCACGTGGGTTTGCTGGTTCCTCCATGGCTCCAAAAAACCTGGGCTCCTGTGGCCAATGTGAAATCAAGCCACAATTCAACATAGGTCACATCTGACTTGCTGTCTTCTGGAGTTGCCTGCGGCCATTTGAGTGTACTTACCCACTTTTTACATGCACTCACATCCCCAGAAAAGATACTGTTCTCGGTCTTGTGGGATGACTGGCACGTGCCACTCCATGCAGTTTTCTAGTTCCACTTGTAGGGCGATTTTAGCAGCAGTTAATGAAATTTGCATTCCTCGTCTCGTCGAAGTAATTGCTTGGTCTCTTTCTGCCGCACTGGGTCTACATTGCAACCAGCTTGTTGTGGCTTGCGCCACAAATTGCATGCACAAGCGGGTATGCATTTTCTGAGTGTCAAGGAAATTTCGGCGCAGTTGAACGATCTGAAGTTCTTGCGCATTTTCAAGCTTCTTTCGTGCCTCCTTGGCCGCATGGTCGGCCAAAGCATTACCCATGGCGTGGTATCTGTCCAAATCATGGCGGATGTCTTGTATGTCTTGGCGCGCACAAATTTTGTGAATTTGTATGTCCAACGGAGTTTCCTGGCATCGACAGCACAAACGAACCAGAATGTCCATGTTTTTGGAATCGAAGTACTTACGTGCATCCGGTTGCTCCAGTACCTGTTGGAATTTAGACACAGCATGTTGAGAGTCACTGTAGATTTCCGCACTTTGTACGCCTTCGGCAATCATGAGTAAAGCAAACAACTCAGCTCGGTTTATGGTTCGTTTACCTGGCACATGTCCACTCTGGCATACTTGAAAGCTGTTGGGTAGCACCATTTTTATGCCATTCTTGCATGAAATGGACTCGACTTTCACTCAAGTGGCATTTATCGACAACGATGGCCCAAGCTGCATGTCTTTCAAGATGTCCCGCACTGACAGTGCAAGACCCGTCCGTGTAGAAAACGTGCCTGTCTCCAGGTGGCAATTGTAGATTGGTGATCGGCCATTCCATGGCTTGCCTGAGTTTATTTAAACGTCCCTGGTACGGGCCCCAGCTGGTTATTTGCCCTCGCATTAAGCAAGTATCATTGTACGTCTTACCGTTGTAGGTTGGAGAAACGTTGTCTGGCCAAGCAAATTTCGCCCATTCCATCGCCTTTACGAAACCTTTCTCACGAAAAGTGGAGAGCGCAGGTGTGCCATACAAGGATTCGTTAAAATCACCCGCAACAATGACATTTGGTCCTGCAATTGAAGCCCGCTGCAGCACATAAGACAAAAGTACGCCTTTGGTTTCTGAGTTGTGGCCTGCAAAAGCATACACTACCAAAATGCACGCCGGCACAATTCCAATCCACACCCACCTCTCGATGATCCTACAAGATGCTTGAAACTGCGGTTCAATTTCAAGTCTAGGTTCCCTGGATTTGAGTTTTGTCCAATTGGGTTGGTTTATCTGGCTTGTGTTTCTTTCTGGCTTCCTCCTCCTCGCTTCCCC